AACTGTCATGTTCAACTGTCTTCGTAATCGTCATACTCGTCCAACCGATGTCACCCTAACCCTGCGAATTCTCATAATCAGCTCATCTCTCCCGTAGCTCCAGCTCTCCTTCCATCATTACCGAACATCAACTATTATACCTCCATTTTTTTAATTATTAGAGCAATACCCATAGCCTGCACAGTCATAGCTGCTAAGATCCAGACGTCATGACTTCGTAACAAGCATAGTGTACATGTACGCGGAGTTTTGCGGACTACCCATCACTATCTCGTCCGCCCCGGGATACCTGATAAAGGCTGATTCACTCGCATCTTCTGCTACATGTACTGTATCAGGGTGAGAAAACTTTGAGAAGACGAGTTCGAGCACACAAAAATTTAATGTATTTCCATGATTTCTACCCTGCTTTTCATTGAAAACACTACATGTATCTGCATGACCTCCGAACCCTTTACCATGCAGACCACCATCACTGATCAGGTGCATTGTACACAATTGTGTAGCCTACATACTAGAACTGTGATACAATCATGCAGTTATGCTCCTACCTCCGAAAGGATGCCAAATTATGCGCCAAATTTTCAACCACCAAATTATGCCAATAATTATGCCGGCATAATCCGCCGGTCACGCGGCCTAGTGCAGGGTTCTCCGCCGTGAAAAATTTGAAATCAGGGTGCAAAATCGTGCATTCTGGGCACTTTTGGCATTGTCTTAAAAAAAGTGGTTCGGCCAAAGCCGGTCCGGCCGAACCGGCTGTTAAGCCCCTGGAATACTCTGTGTAGAATTCAGAACAAGAGTGTATGTTCACATCATACTACACCTCTCTGACTATAAAGTAGCTCATTTAGTTTTGAGTTGTCTTATGTTACGTACATGTACATGAAGAAAGAGTTCAATATTTGCTCAGGAAGTCACAACATGTTGCACAGAATCTGTGTACGGCCGAGGGGGGGGGGGGGGGGGGAGGGGCACGGAAACCCAGCTGGAGGGTGTGTAGGGAGACCCAGCTGGAGAGAGGCTCAGAGTGATAGATGAATTGATGCTTTTTGGCGGGAAGAATAAGGGAGTGCCCCTCTGCACAAGTGGACTACATCATGGGGCTCACGTACACGTACATGTACATGTACATGTACAATGTATACCAGCAGAGTGACTGGGATGTAGCCCATAAAGTCTACCATTGTAACACCTTTCCTGTTTTCTGTTTTTAATTCAATAAAGCGTTCGGGCTATGGCTATTCAGCTGGCTCTGTTGATTGCGACACTTAATTAAGACGAGTGATAATTATTGGCTAGCTATTGGCCGTATACTAGTAATCGTAATCGTAAGTTTTGGTTCTTCTGTCCTGGGTGCCAAGGCCAAGGAGGTGTATGCCATTGCAGAATGTACGATGTCAATGCGTCCTTTGCATGCATGCTTGGTAAATCTATTTTCATTTGTATAACAACGACCTACACGTACATGTACATGTACATGTACATGTATATGTACATGTATATGTACATGTACATGTACATGACCTTGTACTTCTTACGTTCGGATGTCGATTGATATAATATCTACAGAATAACAAGAGCAATCAAGGCTAGTTTGCTGCTACTCAAAGTTTCATGCTTTCGCAATTATCATCAATAGTTTTTATAATACATGTATCCAATTCACGATGTTCATCCACCGGGTTGTGTGCCGGACTGTTCCTTTTAATGTCCTTATCTTTCCTTTTCCTTTTCCATCTGGACTCCTCTTGATTTTATCTTTTTCTCTCTAGCTATTCAATTGTGCCTTCTTGCCATTATTCACTGAATTGGGGATTTCAACTAATCATGGAGACAGTCACACAATAACGTCAGTGACTCTGCTGCTGCAACAGTAACATCATTGGTACACGTACAGTGAAACCTGGTGTAAGCGACCTCTGGGTTTTGCGACCACCTGCTCTTAACGACCGTTTTCCATGCACCGACAGTTCTACACAGACACTGTGGGACCTGGTTATAAAAACCACCTGGCTTTAACGACCGCTTTTGCTTGCACCGTGGGGTGGTCGCTTAAACCAGGGTTTACTGTACATGTACATGTACATCACTGTACATTGTAGCTGGCACTGTGTTCGGAGTTCCTACTGGAGTCCGTAGTGTAGACTGTCACTTTCTTATCCTGCTATAATCCGCGTAGCACTGTGTCATCATGACATCTAGCACACCTGTAGATAACCTGGCACAGACCCAGACTCTGCATGCAGAGTGCAGTGCCAGTAGATTATGGCTGGCAGTGTACAAATATTACAATGTAGGTCTACCAGAACCAAGGCCGCGCCGGGGTCTTCCACGGGCTCTCGCCTGGAATCCCCGGTAGAACCGGCTACAGCTGTAGATAGTTCAGTGCCAATGACTATGTCTCACCAGTGCCAGTGGTGACACAGTGCGAGGGAACTCTACGCTGTGCGGTCGGAGGGAATACATGTATGATGTACATGACTGTACAAGATTCGGACAGAAATGGTGCCCCAGGAGGATGACGGGATGTCCCGCACAACTGAGCCGCAATATGGAAGCAATCTTGCAAACATTAACATCAGGGGTGATCAAGTAAGTAATAGTTGACTTGCAAGAGCCATTGGCATTGTGTGTGTGATGATGCAAGCGTTTCGCATGCTGCAGACTGCCATCTTCCGCAGCCAATACATCTTGGAGAAGCATTAAAAAAAACCCGTTCCAACTACAGACTCAGTACTTCTAGGTGGGGGGGGGGGGGGGGGGGGGGAGAGGGAGAGAGAGAGTGTGTGTGTGTGTGTGTGTGTGTGTGTGTGTGTGTGTGTGTGTGTGTGTGTGTGTGTGTGTGTGTGTGTGTGTGTGTGTATGTGTGTGTGCAAGCATTTCGGTGATTTGGCACGACCGCGTGTGTTCTCACGTCGTTAGACTAGTATGACTGTGAGGTGTTTTTCAACTTTTTTGTTACTCTTGCATGATCATAAGTAGAGACACAGCCTACACACGGGTCAGTAGAGTCAACTATCCTTGGTAAATGATTATGTGCATTGTGGTCTTTGCCGGCTTTGGCCGTGAGTTTGGACTGCGGCCTAGCGCCTGTGCTAGTAGATCTACTGAGCTGACTAGTCGTAGTAGCCAGTGCAGGCAGTAGTGTTGTTTTGATGAGCCAGGCAAGGCCAAGGCCAAGCAAGGCCCGGGCTGCATGGCCCAGGCCGGGCATCATCTGCATGCTGTGCAGTGTAGATCTACAAACAATGCATGGGAGTCGGATTTCACTTGCCATCATGATCACTGGACTCACACCATGCCACCCCTGCATGTGCACTGATATGGGAGCTGGAGCACATGGAGTGGATCATGAAGTCCATGCATGAATAGATCCAGGCAGGTTAGGGCATCATGTATCTCATGCTCACATTGCTCAGTATCTGCATGCAGTGCCAGTGCCATGCCAGGGCCAGCGCGAGGGGATATCCCCGCCGCCGTCCAGGAACCACCTAAATGTATGTAGGCCAGAGTGCTTGCATTGCAGTGCTGTCTGTAGACTTGGCCTTTGCCTTGGTCTGTACAATCATGATTGTACTGACTCAGACTGTACTGATGTAGCACGCTGTTGCTTGTTTCTGGTCACACACAATCATCGACAACCAGTAAGTACCTGTAGATCTACTAGTACTAGTACTAGTAGTAGTACTAGATCTACTGAGCTGAGCCTGAGGCGAGCTAGGGGACAGACGCACCGACATGACCGAGCGGCCAGTGCGCGGTATCTTTGGCCCTACATTCACCTGTTCACGCATGTACAGAAACGTCTGCTCTGGCACAGAACCGCTCCTACCACTACACTACAGGACTAGCATGAGCCCAAGTCTACCGCCCTAGCTCGGGATCGGGAGCTCCGACTGCGGTCGGCTTTTCTTCACCTCCGTCGTTGGTGCAGACGTTCAGTAGCATGGCCTCGGCCTCGTCTGACCGTGACAGACTGTTGTATAGTCTAGTAGTAGTATTGCAAGTGCGAGGGAGCTAAAGCAGTAAAGGCACAGAGCTAGAGGTCGGTACGGCATCCACCGCATGCTTGCGCCGACATACAGAAAATAGAGAGGATCTATCTCTTTCAATCAGGCCTGCCGACAGCAATTCCTCGATTTCTTAGCGGGCTGTTTGTAAAGACCTTTTCGTGGTTTTAGTACTATTGGGCATGGATTGATTGCGGGCACCTCCAGCCTGGTGTCGTTGTGGACGCTACTGTTTAAAGTCAACCGACCCAGGATCGCTTCTTATAAAGGTGAGTTTCGTTGCTACTAATGCCAGCGTTTCGTATAGTGCATCCGTACCGTACGCTACGGAGAAATCGCCTGATTTGCACCACCGTACTACTATTAGCGGTGATGTTCTCGCGTTAAAAACCTACCGACCGTCGTGTTCACGTGGTGCTCCTCCTAATCTTCTAGGAGAGACGCGCTATTAGCGGGTGCTGGCCTGGTGGGAGGTTTCCACCCGTACCGTCCTCGGCAACAGCCGGAGCTTGGAGTGAATGTTCGCGCGTCTCTTTGTCACTGCAAAGATGACGAAATGTGTGATCCGCGGCACAGGGGGCTTCATTGGGAGATTTTGGAGATAGTGCATGTACTACTACTAGTACTAGTAGACCATGGACGGCATGGTAGACGGACACACCGCGCGCTGCCAAGAACACCCTCACCCTCGGCCTCGTGGAGTAGACTACGGTCTGCGGCTGGACTTGGCTGAGGCCATTGTTCGTCGTTGTGTGTCTTGGTGCGTGAGCGGTGAACTGTGATATCCGTAGCGAGCGATCCGTGGTGCCTGGGACCCACGCATCTGAAAGAGGGTAGCTGTAAAGCCTGTATGATACAGCGGCTTGTCGTGATGTGAATGGAAGATGACAAAGCTGGACGGTCGGTGAATCGATGGAGCAGAGCCGCCAGAGGTGATACTCTGGCCGAGTCTGGGTGACCTGCATATGCTCTGACCATAGTCGTTGTAGATCTAGTATGCCCGCGAAGACTAAACAGTGCGAAAAATCACAAGTACTGTAATTTCCCTTCCTACTTTGCTTGAGTTGAAAATAGATATCACTACTTCCCGCCTTTCGCTTGTGGAAGATATCGCTCGCTACCACAATAGGCACATGTGCGCTACTTGTGCTTGCGAGCAGATAGATAGCATAGAAAAACTGATTTCAGCAGCGCTCGGAAGAGAGGCAAACAATGCCAAGCGGCGAAACAAGCCTTTGTCCAACAAACCTTCATTGTGGTGAATCTCGTACGGCAAAACTGAGCCTGGATTGTAGGGCAGTAGTCAGTTCAGAGTGGAGATTTCTTTTTGTAATGTCTCTTTCCTGTCTGCGTGACGAAGGTGGACGGCATTTCTGAGATTCAGGGCAGGATTCTCCACGAGTAGCGTAGTACTAAGTAGATAGCAGTACTTACAGCCTGGTACTGTAGTAGTCCAGTGGCTGTGTGGGTGGACTGGTGGTGGTGGTGGTGGTGGACAAGTCAGCAGTGTGTGTACTGACTGTGTGACCCTGCTAGAGCTACTCGCACACAAGTAATTCCCTTTGCTGGTAAGGAACAGTGCTAGTGAAACCCCGGTTCCGCTTGCTCGCAGTACTTCACTCCACGCTCGTGGTGCCCTCCGCTCACTCCCGTCCCCCCGGTATGCGTTTGAACTTGAAGTTGAAGTCCCCTCGCTTGTTCCAGGGTTCGTATGTTGACCACCCAAACTGTGATAATATCTCAGTTTGTGATTGTTCCTAGTATGTCCATTGTTTGTCTTGTGGCCGCGTTGTGTATGTGTGTGGAAATCACTGTGGAGTGCAATGACTGCATGCAATGATGCGTTACGATGACAGTAGACTTATGTGCTCGAGTCAACTGCTGCACATAGCTGCCAAACAATAGACTTCTACAGCGCAGTACGATCATCATTGTGTTACCCGCTGTACAAATGTTGTCGTTCCTCGTGTACTGAGATGGTGTGCTTAGTTGTCGTATCGTGTTGCGTTTGCTGTTGATCTGTGTCCGTGTGGTGTGCGATCCCACACGGCCTAGTTCTGTCTGTCTTTCGCGATCGGAAGCACGTACAGTGCGCGGTAGTCACGCTCCGCGTGTCTGTGATGTCGACTCCAAAAACAGAGCGCAAGTGTTCGTAGGAAATGACTTGCTCGTCCAGTTTTTTTTCAATTGCAAAATCTACTTTTGTCAGGGCAGGTTCCTCAGGAATGAATACTAGTAGAACGTTGCTGTGGATATGATCCCAGACGGTCCACTTTCTTGTTCAATAATTGACAAAATCACTGTGTGCCAGCTACAAATTACAAAATCTTTTATATGAGCATCGAGTCGTTGTGTCGATGCTATAGCCCACTCTAGCTTGGACACGAAATACCGCCCGGCTTGTCACGAAGAAAGCACGATGGATTCTTACTCATTATTCCTCGCACAAGCGACAAAAGAAATTGCGTTATGTTTTCGTTCTGCGGCGGGTCTTGCAGCGGACAGTTGGGAGTAGTTCTGGCTTGCCTCATCCACTAGCAGAATGTAAAACTGCCCCTTGCGGGCGTCCCTGAAGGTCCGGAATGCCATGTCGTATCTTCGCTCATTCTCTCGCATTCTTGGAATGCACGGCCGCACTCTTGTAGAAAGCGCTCGCACCTTTGATTACTACGGCTAGCGCTGTGTTTCTTGTGTGTATTTTCGGCTGCGTTGGATTCGATCACGTGGTAGCAGCATAGTACATGACTGTATGTAGTCCTTGGCTTGGGATAGCTCTTCACAGGGCGAGGAGCCGGAGGTCCGCGCATGCTGCAATCAGATACGACCCACATTCCGATCGTAGTTTGGCCTACTTGCTCTCGATATTGCCAGCAGGGAACCTAAGTTAGTAAGTAAGCTCTAACCACCTAGGAAATACAATCTCCGAAGGCGTAGAATCGTTCTGCAGTTGAACATGAACGGATATCCGAAGGTACCCCGATACATACCTGCAAACAGAAGCTCTGGCTGGTGCTTCCTAGCTTGTGTTGGTCAGTCCCGAGATTCCCCAGTGGCAGGATAATTCTATCTGTTCTGCTTCGCAAAGAGATGCTGCGTCTCTAAAATGTACCTAGAACACAGAACTATCGCCAGTAGCGGGAATGGGAAGTTCCAAGTTACTTAGTTCCGTAGACGCTTTCCTTGTTCGGGGACGAAACGATCGATGTTGTAATTTTTCCCGGCCGGCGGGGTCGCCAGCGGATCCATGACCCTTTTGTAATTTATTTTGACTTCTCATCATTGAGACTGTTACTCTCTCTCTCTCTCTCTCTGTGAATGAAAAATGCCACTCGAGTCAGTTCAGGTTAGGAGCTGCGCTGGTTGCGTGAAAGAGATTTACAGCGTCTTCATATTCCTGGACGTTTTGTCAGCAATTTGCTGTTGGTCAGTAGACTTCACTCTTCAGGTCTTCATACCGTTTAGTGTAGATCTACACGTATGTCCGTCGATGCAATCGCTTCGATGTGTTCTGGAAAATACCTGTTTGGTTGAGGAAGAATGGTATGAGGAAATGGTCCAGATGGGGCGTTTTTCAGAGTTTTTTCCTTGGGCTAGCCCTGTTTTTGGCCATGGCGTGGGGGCTCAGGCTGCGTACCTGCGCGGGGACACTGGTCACCACGTGGAGGAAAATGAATTCGTCAAGTCTACGATCAGGCGCAACAAGAAAACACTGTACTCAGGTCGTGGAGCGACGAGGCTAGCGTGGCGAGTTGGTGAATGTTGATTGCTGGATTGTCGTGTGATACGCTTTCTGACGCCTTGCTTGATAACCTTTGCTTGGCTGCGCAGCATTCTCACAAGCCTTGGATCGCCGCCGTTCCTGATTGCCCCGCGAAAACTGTCGGCATTTCTCTGTGTGTCTTTTGTTCGTAACGAGGTCTTATCCTCCTGTGCTAGAACTTCAGTATGCACTGGATTCCTGTGATCGGATCGCGGAGTTGATGAGGTGTTTTGTGATAGTTCACGCTGGTAGGCAGTGAGTTGTGTATGAATGGCTGGGTGATTACATTGTACTACTACTACTACTAGTACTAGTAGTAGTAGTAAAACATGTACTGGATACAGGTATGGCCCGGATGCTCCACCACGTGGCAGATGTGGGTGCAGGATCTGCGACATGAGCGCACCTAGACTTCTGGTTCTGCAGTACTGACTATTGAGTACTGTCAACCAAGTGCATAGTAGTCAGACTCTTTGTACATGTAGAGTAGATCTACACCACACTGTACACACAAGTCACTGCACACAGCAGCTCACAGGTACATGTACTGCAGTCTACAGGGTCACAGTATACTCCAGACAGTACAGAGGTGGCAACTGAAATTCGACCCCCTATATTTCAAAGTGTTACAATCCTGTATTGGGTCTTTGCCATGTGAGCCTCTGGGGGGGGGGGGGGGGGGTCGGATTTCAGTTGCCAGCACTGTAGAGTCGTGTGTTAGACTGTACTGAGCAGTACATGACTGGGTAGCGTCAGGTAGACATCCACAAACCAAGCTGTGCTTTGCCAGATGATGAGCGTTCCGTTATTTCCTCCTGGCGCAGTACAATTCTGTTCCCAGGTCCTTGAAAATGATGTGTACGAGCGGCATACAATAGTATGTAGGAAGCTGAGCGTCCGCGGGATGCGCTTGCATCCTGGTGAACAGTGTATGCGGGACATCACACACATCGTGTACTGGTGTGTCTGCGAGCAGTGCGCGTTGCGGGGAACGTTTGGTTTGCGAATTCAAATGAAGAAAGATACAGCGACAGCATCATCAACGACAACATCAACAACTCTCTTATTGCCGATGGTACCATCGTGAGAATAAAGAACTCCAGCAACAACAACAACAACACCAACAACAACAACACCAGCGACAACAACAGCAAAAACCACAAACAACAAACACCGATGGATTGGAAGGCTACTGGGTCACTGCCAATAGGGTGCCGTCACACGACCTCTACTTACATGCAGAACAAAAAAATCAAAAACCTACAGGAGAAGAAGCCGAAAACACTGTATTAAAAAAAAAGAAAAAGTTCATGGAATGTGGAATTCCTGGGTAGCAGCGTTCCGTTTCAGCGCATTCTTTCCAGTGACTGTTTTCAACAGGGTGCAATGTCAATGGGCACATGATACTTTTCAATAGGTTGGAATGTCAATGGGCATGTAATACTTTGCAATATGTTGGAATGTCAATGGGCCCATAAATTGTACAATCGTCCGCAGGACGAAGATTTTATATTCCGCCGGGTGACATGGGTGCAAGAACGCATTTTTCTTGTCGTGGACTATTTGCCAGATGATTGGCATAAGCTACTAGCACTTCCTCCAACCTCCTCCTCTCCTACTCCCCTCATTCGCCGTACTTATCTGCTCCTGAGAGGCATGCACATTTGACTTGTTCCCCATCTAAGCTCACATGCCAAGGAGCGGTGAACAGTTGCTGTTTCCTTGTGCACTGTAAATAATAAAGTCATCGTGACGGCGGGAATACATGTATGTTTGATATTTCCGGAATCTGTCAACTTAAATTTTAGATTTGGAACCACACCTGGTGCCATTTTCCAAAGTAATATTCGTGCACATTGAGACTTGCTGTTGATCACGTGTGACAAGTTGAGTTCCATTTTAGTTAAGAGTCGCATGTTGACTAATTGCGGAAATTAATAGAAGCACATTTTACTCAAATTTCTCGCTTGACTTCTTCTACAGTGAAGCCTGTCTAAGGGCGCGTTTGAATTGTCTTCATCAACTGTTCTAACAAATTTTATAAAGAGATTAGTTGAAGTGTCCCATTAGAACGGTTTCTATCATTTTAGAGTTTTTCAGTGGAATTGTCATGGCGATGATGACGGCCGATCAGATCGACCATCTCCACGTACTACGTGACGTAGCTATTCCAAACTCTTCGAAACTAATCCACCTTCCCATCGGATGAGTTTCGAGGAGCTTCGTTTTTCTGAAGAGGCCAATAAGGCCACCTCTTCAGAAAAATGAAGCTCCTCGAAAAGTCAAAGAGTGACAATTCGAACGCGCCCTAAGCTGACCCCTCAATGGACTATACAAACATGGTCCCCATGTACAGGTGGTCTCATTATCCAGGGTCAGTTGACTGGAAATGACAGCCCTTGGTCCTGGTCTCAGTGGTCCTGGTCTCAGTGGTCCTGGTCTCAGTGGTCCTGGTCTCAGTGGTCCTGGTCTCAGTGGTCCTGGTCTCAGTGGTCCTGGTCTCAGTGGTCCTGGTCTCAGTGGTCCTGGTCTCAGTGGTCCTGGTCTCAGTGGTCCTGGTCTCAGTGGTCCTGGTCTCAGTGGTCCTGTTGGACAAGTGGTCGCCTTATCCAGGGTCCTTTGACTGGAAATACTAGTAATGCCGATGGTCCTAGTTGCAGTGGTCTTCTGGGACAGGTGGTCGCCTTATACGAGTGGTCGCTGCCTTGACAGGTGTTACTGCGCTTCCGAAAAAAAAGTACTGTATGAGCAGAAATATTCGTCTGGAATTTTATTTCGTCTTTTTCGTCCAAGGAGCTTTTGGACTAAATTTGATGCCGGACTAATGTCGATTTGTCCAGCTTTTCAATACCCTCTTATGATCCATGGGGCTAAATTTACAACAATACAAACTCCCTTTCTTTGGAGTTGGACGGAATGATTGACGGACGAAATGTTCTGCCTGTACAGTACATGTACTCACAGGGACTGTGTGGTCAGTGTGCTGTTGCTGGTGTTGTGGATGATTGTGTGGTCAGTGTGCTGTTGCTCGTCTTGTGGATGACTGTGTGGTCAGTGTGCTGTTGCTGGTCTTGTGGACATGTACTCACAGGGACTGTGTGGTCAGTGTGCTGTTGCTGGTGTTGTGGATGATTGTGTGGTCAGTGTGCTGTTGCTCGTCTTGTGGATGACTGTGTGGTCAGTGTGCTGTTGCTCGTCTTGTGGACATGTACTCACAGGGACTGTGTGGTCAGTGTGCTGTTGCTCGTCTTGTGGATGACTGTGTGGTCAGTGTGCTGTTGCTCGTCTTGTGGACCTGGTGATGCTCTCAAAGGGTGGAGTACTAGTAACCCTGCGGCTAGCTTAGACTTCAAAACTGTGCCCACCTCCTCTTGTGTGGCTGAGCACTAGTTTTTGAGCATCAGAGCACGGAACACGCTCTGAACATTCGCATACCAAGATGCAAAACACAATTTAATTCCCATCTAGCTGTTTGGGACCAGTGGCAATACTATTGGTATCACACTTATCAATCTTCCTTATTGGCATCTCGCCATGGGGGGGGGGGGGGGGTAAAGAGTTACAAATTGTCACTACTAAAGTGCATTCATTATGGGGTATAGATGTTTCAGGGCCAAGAAAGTGGACACTAAACTAACTTGATGTGTCTTGATTGAGAGTGTGTGCAGTCAGGGCAAGCATACATATAATTATACATAGCCTTCTGCAGGCCAGCAGCAGCAGCAGCAGCAGCAGCAGCAGCAGGACTAGTACTAGTAGTTAGCGTGCAATCATTCATGCAGAGAAGTGTTTCAAATTTATTTATTTAATCATTGGCACTGCCAAGAAGGGAGAGGCGCCGAACAGGCAGTATGGGTCTTGACGACACGTTGAGGCTTGAGAGGCATGCAGTGAAATAATAACAAAACGAGCTGAGAATGTAGACATGGAATCTCAATCTCCAGCTGGCTATGCTGCCTTTTAAAGAGGCGAGCAGGCAATTAGTCACGGGGCAACTATACAAGTCCAATCAAGCCCTTACATCATGTGTTGCAGCGTTTGCACACTAGTAGTAGTCTGATCTCTATACTGCCCTAGGCTATACTATAGACCCATTGCATGTACATGTAGTTGGTCCACTAGGACCATGCCGACACTGTGAATCCCTTACATCATGTGTTGCAGTGTTTAGAGGACTAGTCTGGTCATTAGACTTCCTATTGACCACCCATTGAATATGGATTGTCCACGCCACTGCCCTGCTCTCTGGACTCCGTTTTACAGTCCTTCCGAACACATGCTCATCTTCCTATCGGCCATAAATGGGTCAAGGGTTGACCGTTTTCCAACAATAGTTTTGCCATGCGGCATGGAACCCCCTTTCCGACTCTGTTTTTGATGTCTTTTTCTCCAAAAGGCGGTCCTTACAGGCGATTCAGACTACGGCCAACTGTGACCATGGTGACCACGTTTTTACGACTCGGACGTATTTGATCAGAGACTGTACATAACATTTTGGAACACGACTTCATCACCATGGAAATTCAAGTTCACACGTGATATTGCCCGTAGTCTGAATCGCCTGTAAGGGAAGGCTCATGCTGAGTTTATGCAGGTGTCACCAGCCTCAACCTTTCTCTGTGTGATTCTTATCCTTTTGCATGTTTGCCTACAGTAATCGTTAACCGTCCCGTGATCAGTGACCAAGTCTGGCACCTTGTTGTCCAGAAGAACCGGGGTGTGAGGATGCTGCTCAGGCGGCTGCTGATGCATCGGGCGCGCTTACGAGAAGAGCACGCATCATGCTGGAGTCTACTACTCTCTGCCATAGTGCTGTGCGCGTTAGCCAGTGTGCGTGAAACGGCCGCGTTCGACTTGAGGGTGAACCCGACCTTTCAGGCGCAGAATTTTGGCGAAGCTAAAGGTAAAACCGATGTGTCTGTTAACATAGGCGTAGACTTATTGCCGTATTTGCGGGGGTGTCTTTGCACACGGCCGTTTTGACCAAAGCCCTCACCAAATAGCGTACATGTACATGCCGTAGTATGCAGGTTGTGCGATTACGTAGTCCGTCTAGATGCTTTTTTTTGGCGACGTCGCGGCACAACGATGCACCAGCGATTCACTAGCGACTCACTCTGTATGCTTAGCGCCCATCAGCGATTCTGCTGTCCACACGGCGCCCATAAGCAGTTCGTGAATTCCGCCGACTCATCATCATGACTTCTATCACATACTAGTAACCTATAATGAAAGTCCAAAAATATTCGATGCATAGTTACTATCCGCTAATACCGGCCAGGACATGTTGCGGCTGAAATTTTGTTTTGCAACGTTCAGTGTGATAGTGTATACAGGCGACAGCAGCACAGGCCGAAGATTTGATGCGACCGAAATGGGTTTTAGACCTGGGCGGTCGAAGTTTGAATGGGCCGACATAGACTTACAGAAACTGGGTCACAGCTAAAAAAATCACGGTTCGCGTGAGACTTAACTAGGTACAAGGCAAACGCGAGATTTTGAGCCTAATAATAGGTGCGTGTCCTACCTTGTTCGAACTGTGCAGAGGAGTGCAAGTAGTACTTCGGAAGTAGCTTTACCTTCTCTGCCTCTGTTGCAGCGCTACAACAGCTGCAAGTGGCCGTTTTAATGTCTAAGGTTCTATGTGTGTGTGTGCGTGTGTGTGTGTGTGTGTGTGTGTGTGTGTGTGTGTGTGTGTGTGCGTGTCTGTGTAATGCATGTATATATATTTGTATTGGTTCCTCCAGCAAGTGTAGCATGCGCATAGGTAACTGTCTTGGCCGTCCTATTTAGATGTACTCCGTGTGGTGTAGACCAGCTGTGCATTGGGGGGGGATTCACATGGCTTCGCCAGTTGTGTGGATTAGACAGTTATCTGGCGCTTGTCTCGATCTGTTTCAATCAGAATCAGGTCCACTATCGTTGCTATAAAGAGAAAATCTGTGGGTGCACATCCAGTGCATTTGCAGATTTGCGTGCTTCTCTTGCGACGGGCGTATACATGGTACATGATGTGTGTGTGTGTGTGTGTGTGTGTGTGTGTGTGTATGTTTGTGTGTGTGGCGGTCAATTCATCAGCCTTGCAAGCTGTTGAATGGTGTAATCCCAGCACAAGTTGCTATGTCTAACATAGCTGTTCGCTATCATCGCTTCCGCGATGGGCAGGTCTGAGGTCTGAGGTCTGAGGTGTGTGTGTATGTATCGTGTGCATGTGTTTTGTGCACAGGTGAGGTCCAGTTCATCCAGAACGGTTCGGAGACACCGACCCTATTCGCAATCAACAATGGTTTTGCTTCATTCGCCGCACGCTACACACACAACGTTATGGACTGGCGGGTGTACGAAGGGGTGAGTCTAAGCAAATCATTTCGGCAAGTCGTGGTTCGTAATCCCCACTATAATAACAATTATGGTTAGCTGATACGGTCAATCGGCTAGTTATGGTACTGTCAGGCGCCGAAGAACGGAGCGCGGAAGAACGGCCAGGCTGGAATATCACCAAGCACAGCATACCAATGTATACACGATGACTCCACTGTGCATAGACTGTAATACATGAAAATAAGAATGGTCTAGGCTAGGAGGCTGACCCCAGTTCTTTGGTGCCCGGCAGTTCTGTAGTATGGTTAGGTTGAATTGTAAATCAGTTAGTTACCGGTATGCATCAAATACGAGCATAAGGTGTGAAGGGGATGATGGTAGAAGTCCATGAAAATGACTTCTGGGTCAAATCGGATACATTTTGACCACATCTTGTGGGTGAGCCCTTCGCATGGCATGCAGGTGTGATTTTCTTTGCCAATAATGGGTCCCCGGCCGGGAGGGTCCAGGTCACCTATGAACCCAGCTACACAGCCTTGCGGAGCAGGGGTGCACTTTGCCGAATATAGAAGACATGAGAAATGCGGTATGTGAGTACGCTGGCCTCGGCAATGCACTGTTCAACACCCCCACACGGCCATGCACAGGTGGCTGTGTGCCCGGTGGGGTGTTGGCGGTACAAATTATGTCATTGTGCAATGGGCGTATTGGGACGGGCAAGACGTTAGGATGCAGCCGCCAAGAAATCGAAAATATCGCAAGAACGCACTTCGTCAGACCGATGCGGGTCCAGCACCATTTGACTCCGTTTAGCAATCCAAACTCGACGGAACCTGAGATGTTTCATTGTTCACAGGACTTTCCCTTCGAAAACAACCGTATACCCCATGTACTGTAATGTCACAA